GGTTATATTTGCCTTGAAATGTTTAAACCAAAGATTTTTTCCTAATGTCCTTTGGTCAATGAAGTTAAAATAAATTATTTATTTTAAATACTAAATTGGAATTTCTATTGTAACATTCCTTACAACAAATTACTATACAGCAAAAAGTAAAAGTATCTCAGTGGCTCGTGACTTAAAACTAGATAAAAATGATAAAAAAAAAACTTCAAAGATAGAAAACGTACATACTAAACATAGGCCATGGAAAGAGTCACATTTGTGTTTTCACCAAAAGGAATACATACCTATGAGAACATTTCAAATAAGAGTACTGAAGTGAATATTTAGAATAAATGGAAGAAAGAACCACTGCATGCATTTGTAAGTGAAGAAGAGTCTGTGAATCTAAAATAGTTAAAAATTATTATTTGAAAATTCACAACTATGCATATACACATACAAATACAAAATTTGCTTTTATGCACATTCATTTTAAAGCAAGCAAAAAATTCATCCGTATCTACTATAATCAGTTACTTTTGAGTGCTGGCAAAGAACAACAGCATAGCTATAATAGAAAAAGTATTAATGTCATCTACATGGAAGTAGGGATGATAAAGGGAAAGACACTAATTTCTTTCACAGAGCAAAAGAATTACTAAGAGAAGAGCTTACCAAATATTCTAAGCAATCATAAACCAACATATCAGAATCATCAGATATCTTTAACATATAACCCAGTAAAATCAAGTAGTAATATGCACTGAAAAACATTTCTAGATAACATGAAGTGAAAAACACTTCCTTTAAAAGGAAGTTTTACAGAAGACATTTCTCACAAAAGAAATCTAAGCCAAAGTCATAAATTAATGAATCCATATTATGAGAAGATAGGACGTTTTCTATCATTGTGTGATGATGATATATTCAAGAGGTTTAGTACAGAGATATTCCATAAAGACATATTCATAACTGAAACATTTCCTACCCAATCACATCTGTGATATTCTTCCCTCCAGCCATAGCATCACAAAACAGTTTTATAGAACTTAGAGTGAGAATGAAACTTAGAAGTCATTTACTTTTAATCACCTTTATCCTATTTTTTTAAATAATTAGTTTTTTTCTGATTCTAAAGGTAATAAAAACTTGTTGCTAACCTCTTAAAAATAAGAACTACAAAGGTATAAAAAAGAATCAACCATAATCATAACAACTGGAGACAATTAATATAATACTGTATAATCCATTCTTTATTTTTATGTATTCACTTAAAACAATATCATGAACATCGTGTCATTAAAATTCTTTGCAAATATAATTTTTAATGACTGCATAATATTTCATCCTCTGGATGAACCATACTTTATATAATTGTACTCCTATTTTAGGTTGCTGAGGATGTTCACTAAAATTTTGATGATATATCTTTTGATTACGTATATATCACACATAATCAAAATTTTAATAAACATCCTCAGCAACCTAAAATAGGAGTACAATTAAATAAATTATATGTATATAGTCTGATACATATATATTTGTTCATTTTATCAATTATTTATTTAAGATGGATTCAGAGAAAAGGAAATTCTTCCTTTTATACATGAGGAAATGTAGACCTATACAAGTTAAGTGATTGATAAGGTCCATAACCAAGATTATCTGATTTTCTGTTTTATTATAACATATCATCTATGGTCGTAAGAGAGTCTACTAGTTTCTACTAGTTTCCATAATGTCATTCTCTACAAGTTAAAAGTACAGATGTTACATCTCATTATGTTGTAATGTATTCTATTACTATAACTTAATATTGCTGTCTTTAAATTCATAATCCATTATTTGTCTTTCACTCATAAAACTATTTAATTCCCTCTGGAGCCTACAGATAGTGGCAATAAACCAAATCAGAAAAGCAAACTCAAATATTAATAAATAAATAGGAAATAATAAACCAGAAAGAAACCAGAATGAGACATTCTTTTCTTATTCTTCTTTCGATTATAACTAAAAATCTACCCGAGTATGGAAAAAGTCTGCTCCATTAGGATTACTAGTAGGCAACAAGTTAAAATAAACTGGGCAGATTTTACGATAAAGTATAATTACTATTGAAAGAGTTAAACGTATGTTAAACGTATTTGGGTACACTTCTGAAGTTATTTGGGAGGGGAATGAAGGGTAAAGCCTTCATTCAATTTCCACACAGTCAAGATAAGCATCCTAGAAACAATCCTGTCTGCCTTTAGATAGGTTGTTTATATCCAGGAAAAGTGCATTCCCTACTTCCAAAGGGAGAAATGGATCAACCATCCAGAAAGCCCGGCGCTTACTGACCTTCCACATACTATCCCCAAGCGTGCTGACGGAGAAGGCAAAAAATTCAACTGAGAATTATTGGAAAAATATAATAATTTTCAAGTCTATATGCATTTTAAAATTCAAGATTATTTTAGTTTTTTAGAATTATAAGTCTTTGGCTTTAATTTTTTAGAATTATAAAAATTTTAAAATAATTAAAGTATTAAGATAACCATTCATTAATCAAAAATGTAATAAGAAATCTCTATACCCAAACATCACAGCTTAGCTTTAAATAAGGATTGTGGGGCTTTACTTCATTTTTTTCCCTTTGTCCTTTTAAAACTAGTTTGGGAGCATCAATATTAATAATTTTTCCTAGTCATAAATGCTATCGGAACACAACATGAGAGTTCACTGTAAAGGTTAAAATATGTGTACTATAACTCATCAAATACAAATAGGTTAATAAATGATGTGACAAATGTTTTCCTTCATGCTAGAAAAGGTTCTTCATCTAATATTGACAAAAAAATAATACAAGTTGAGTGAATGGAAATTGATAGCTTAGTCCAACCCATGAACCAAAAGCCACTCTGTATATATATATTTATATCCATTTAAAAAGGAAGAAAAAAAATCACTAAATTTCAAAGTAGTTTTGTGCCTCTGACTCAAATTAGTAGTAGAATTCATTTAAAAACATGATGTCAACCAAATGGCATTAAAGTGGTACACATAATATATTTGTTAATGTTTTTCACACTGTAGTTTCTTATCGTAATAAACACAAGGAGATTGTTCTTCCCACATGGTTCTCACCTTTTTTTAAGACATAAGTGACAGAGGATATTTGCATACCTGATGCATTTTCGTAGGTATACTCACAGTCCAATGATTCACAATGCTACTATCAAGTACACAGCAGGACAGGGAGCCCAGGAAGAGCTGCACAGTGGACATGATGCACTGAGGGGTTTGTGTGATTGCCAGTCCTCTGGCTATCAAATCTGCCCTTCCTCTCTCAAATAAGAAAGCATATGGAACACTACTGACTGAGAATGATATTAATTATATAGATAATATTGCATTGGCTTTATTTATTAATGAAGAAAAAGCAAACCAATCTCAAACTTTAGTATTTCATTATTAGTAACTCCTTATTTACCACACATCCCACAACTGATAACAAAACAACACTTTTTAACACTTCATTTCAAAGTCACTGCCATAACGAATTAAAACCCAAACGAAAGTTAACTAACATTTTAATATAGACTTGGCCAGCAACATGATACATTTAATAGATTTAATCTTATTGATGAGAGAGAAATAAAACTGCTTTTAGCTGATTCATTTTCACTTTCAATTTACTACTAAATTTGTGCATAACTGTCACTTCTACTATACTATGAGTGACCCACCACATTTCCAATCTGTTTGTCCCATCTTTGGTATACCCTATAAAGATTAAATTGTATTTTTGTAATAATTACCATTCATAAGCAAGAAAGACCTTAAAAGTTTTTATTATCATCATTGCAACTAGAAAAAAGTAGTTGTTGTCTCCTAAGGTTTTCTTCCACTTATCCATAATACTATCCAATCTCATCTCTTTTATTTATTTTTTTTGTATTTATTTTTTTTTGCTTGCGGAAGACTAACCCTGAGCTAATATCTGTGCCAGTCTTCCTCTATTTTGTATGTGGGATGCCTCCACAGCATGGCTGATGAGTGGAGCAGGTCTGCGCCCCAGATCTGAAGCCATGAACCTGGGCCACTGAAGCGGAGCACGCAGAACTTGAATCACTCAGCCACGGGGCTGGCCCCCAATCTCATCTCTTTTACTGTACTTTTAGCCAAAGGTGAGTCAAAGTAACTGCTCCTCTAGTGAAAATAATAGTGGTCTTTCATAATATGTGACAGAAATTGTCTTATAGAGACCACCAAAATTTATTTTTAGATAAAACTATGTCGATAAATTTTCTTTTGCAAAAATATCTGAAGGTGTTCGATATTAACTTATACATACATAATAAGTATAGACATGTCTAGCTTTAGGAAAATCTAATGGGTGAAGATTCAAGTTTTTAAACAGATATAGGTAACTAGAAATCAGGTGCAGTTTCTAGTAGCTAAAAGATTCTTCACTTTACATAATGATTTATTGGAGAAGTTCATAAATATAGAATTTCTGTATGCATTCAAAATGAAAAAGATTTATAGAATATCAGTTTAGTCACACATTTTAGGAAATATAAACATGACATAAGGAACGTCTGCATTTCTGCTATAAATTAAACGCTGACAAAATGTTACTTACCAATATGATTTCCATTATACTTGCATTTTTAACTAACATTTAGAAAATTGATACCTATAGGTCGGTTGCACATTATATCTGTTAAACACTAACTGAAAACATAAGGTACAAAGCATATCTGCAACGAAAAATCGGACCCTCCTATTGGGATCAGCTAGTCAGCAGCAAGTACCTTTTGGTACTTTATTGAAGTGTCTAAGTTCTTTTCTATGAAACACACACACACACACCTTGACAGCTTACATTATCTATACGATATTTAAAAGGAAATTTTCAAACATAAACTGTTCCACTATAAATTCATGATCAGTCTTGGCTGGATTACCTGAGCAACCTATTTGGCATATTTTTGTTCCTCCATTTGAAATCCAATTATATCAGCAAGATGACTTACCGGACCAAAAGAATTACTGTCAAAACTGTGTCCATGATGATCACCTTCAACCCAGATGTGACCACGGGGGACTTTGACATACCGGTTTTTGTGTCCTATAGTTCTAGAAATAAACAGGAAAACCACTGAGATAAGAAAAGAGATCAACTAGCTAAGCATACAAATTCAGGGAGGGCAAAAATGCTGTTATAAAGATGCATCAGATTATTACAGGTTAACCATGAGGCTACTCTAACCTTCATTTTCAAGTAAGATGAGGTTAGGACCTTGTAAACCTATCCACAGTATTTTTCTTTCATCCTTCTGTAGATAGGAATTTTGTGCTTAAATAAAATGCCCTAGCACCAAATATAATGTTTTGCTACTTAATTTGATTCACAATATCCTAAATATGTTTTTGTGAAATTCAGTAAGCCCTAACAAAATATAGATCTATTTTTTTTTTTTGACATTTGCTTTTATGTCAATGTTCAACTTGGTGTGGGAGATCAAGATTTGGCCACCCTGAAATATATCTCTTTACCTTGATTGTTTTCTCTGAGGGACATTTGACCTCCCCCACTAACTGCCTAAAGAATTTGACATGGTGGCTGCTTCCTGGAACAGATCTTCTATCATGATGGCTGTAATGATAATGTAAAATAGATGTTACAATGGGAGGGGCACCAAGCCACTTTTATCAAAAAACTCTATCTCTCCCTGACCACATTATCTATAGATGATCCTGAAAAGAATTGTCTTCTTGCCCTCTGAAGTCCCAGACCACTACCCACCCCCAACACATTCCTCACCTTTAGCTACAATACTTAAGCAAGCAGCTTAGACAGAGGGACAAGTTGCTCATTTCTGAGTTTCTCCCATGAATACATGCTATTAAACTTGGTATTATTTTCTCCTGCTAACCTGTCTTGTTAATTATTTGGCCAGCCATAAGAACATTAAGGGAAAGGGCAGAGGGGGATTCTCCCTCTTCCCCCACATTGGTCAGCTGCAATCTTCATTTTTTTGGTGAAATAAACTTCTCAAACCAACTGACAGTATTTTTCATAACCTCAATACTCTAAAATTCAGCATATACAAGAAAGAAAAAAACATGGACAATCTTTTTGTCAGATATAAACTATCAATTGACGTCAGTTGAAAATTTCTGATTAGCACTATTTGATTTCATGAATTATTCTTGAAAATGAGAAATCGTTTTTAACAATTTTAAAGACTATTTAAAGATCAGTGATACACATTTCATGGAACATTCTATATTCTTATGGCTGACAAGAAAATGGAATAAAGAAAGGCTCTCTCACACAGTGTTGGTGGCAATGTAAAATGATACAACTTTTTTTCCTGTTTTGCCATCTGGAACCTATTTTTAGCAAATTTATTAACAGACTAAAATGTACGTGCTTTTTGACCTAGTTATTCCACTGGTAGAGATCCATTCCAAACAAATAATCAGAAATATGGACAAATATTTATTATCAGGGTGTTCAACATAGGCCTTTTATTGAAAAAAAAAAAATTATCATCCTAAATATCCAACAACACGGGATTGGTTAAATAAATTATGATACAGCCAATTAAATAAAAGGGATGAGATTAGAATAAAATATTATCCAGATCTTATAATAAAAAATTCTTTTTGGGGCAGAGACGGTTTTCTCCTTCTTTTATTCCCCAAAGCATTCGGGAAAATACATAGCCTAAAGAAGCCTCTCAATAAATGTTGGCTGAATGAATGAATGAATGAATGTCACCCCCAAGTCTCCAGAGCTAAGCCACCAAACTGAGCTTTGCACACCGTTCTTTGAGGTGGAGTCCCTATCAGACCATTTTTGTTAGTTAGTTAGCAAGTGGTATATGCGCAGAAGAATACATAAAAAAGGAAAACCCCACATAAATTGGTGCTACAGAAATTGAAACTATTCATTATCTAGAATGATTTTTAATTTTCAACGAATTTCAGTGTTGAATTGCTTTGCTTAGATCAGTAAATCATTCATGCAAGGAAGCAATGTTGTGGCCATTAGAAACCCACAGTAAGGTAATGACTGCTGTTTATTTTTAATTACTACTGGGAAGAGTTTCAGCCTTTTAAAGAAAAGCAAAAACAAGTTGAACACATCTTACCGTCATATACTCTGTAATATAAGTGTTCTTCAATCAAAATCAGTCAATTAGTTCTTGACATCTCTACTGCTTTTATCATGAGATTGCCTCTAAGAACTAACATCCCACATCAAGTGTTAATGACTGGGAGAAGACCTTTTTACTTAATTGTTGGCAAGGCACACTCTCCTAATAGGTCCAAACATTTGTTTACCTTATTAAGTTGGCTATTTTGGATAAATACTTAGAGAGAAAACAATTACCTATTTTTTTCTCATCAAATAATCATTCAAGCAGAATTATGAAATAAAACCAACATAAAATCATTTCTGCCGTGAAATGGTAGGTTTTAAATCAAGCATATTCTTCTGGAAACCAAAAGAATGATATAAAACTCAGATTCAGTTTCAATGTCACAAAAACCAAGGAGTCAAGATACTTGTGGTAGAAAATCACAATCATGAAAATACCATTAATAGTTGCACATTTCCTTGTATTGACCATCTTATCTAAAAATTTAAATACACCCATCTTCCCATCATTTTCTATCTCCTTAACAATGCTTTATTTTTCTTCATTGCACCTACTAACACTTGATATTCACTTATTGGTCTGTTATTGCCTATCTCCCCCCCAACTAGAATGTAAACTTTGGAACTCTGTGTTTCTTCTTCACTAGAGTATCCCCAGATCCCAGAAGAATGCATAGTACAAAATGCTCAACAAATGTTTGTTAAATGAATGTGTAACTGAAGAACGAAAAATACTGCCAAAAAGGCAGAATAATATAGTGGAAAGTGCATAGAGCCTGGAAACAGACTAAACTAGTTTTAATCTTGATACTATTACTCACAAGTAATCTTGTGCCAGTTACTTAGTTTCTACCTGTATTCGCCCACCTTTAAAATGGGATGAATAAGACACAGCCTCACCGGGTTGCGACGAAGGTTGGTAGTTAGATGAGAATATGATGGAGAGGTTGCTATAGAACACAGTCTCTGCAGTCAGCCTATCTTGGCTTTTATATCTGACAACACTTTTCAATTTTATGTGATCTTGGGCAAGTTGAAGAAACTCTAAGTGTCAGTTTTCTCATTTGCAGAATGGGGCAAATAATAGTACCTAATTCAAAAAGTTGTTCTATGGAGAAAGGGGCATGTATTAAACACCTGATAATGGATTCTCTTATAGTTGAGACTTTTTTAAGTAAAGCACTCAGTATAGTTCTGATGTATAGTAAGAACTCAATAAGTGGTCGTTGTTATTGCTATTGTCTTCCTTTGTCCACTACTTTCTTTCATTTCATAATTCAGAATGTGTTCAGCCTCTACTATCTATTAGCATCAGTCTTTTAAAATTACCTGAGCTACACTTCAACAATTTCTTTTCCCCATATTTGCACTGTGACTATAGGCTATTTTTATTGGTACAATGAATCTTATTTTTCTTTTATTCTTACGCCCTTCTGGGACACTTTAAAACTTACATGTAAAACACAATATATCTGTTTGTGCATATTCAAATATGCAGGGAGTAGTAGGTGAAAGTATCATGTATCTGTTTGTGTTTTCACCTACTAATCACTTGCATATTTGAATATTGCTATGCTAATAGAGAGTGGTTTACCTAGATACTAGACAGGTGTGAAGGAACTCTTTGAGCTGTAAAACCCTGGTAAAATACACGCCATATAAATAGCGCATGTTTTATCTCTCAGGTTTCAAGCTAACTTTTTAAAAAATAACCCAAGGTAGCTTTAAAAAATATGACGTTAAAATATTGAGCTGGTTCCTTTTAGGACTGCCAAAGAAATATAATACACCTAATAGAATTTCTCTAGAGAAGGAATTTTAAATAGGTTAGTGCTCCTGAATTCACATAGAAGAAAGACAAGATAATCTTGTAGGTGATTTAACAGTTAAGGGAGGTGTCAGCCTACAAGGTTGTATGTATCTCTGGTTTGCAAATAATTTTGGTTTTGACAGTCAAAAATGAGTTCTGTACAGTATTCTAACTAGCTGTCTACAAAAAAGCATTTTTAGTACTAGCTTTACCAAGACAAGTTACCTAGGTCTTATGAATGGAATGAAGAATGATTGCCTCCAATTTGATTTGACCTTGAAAACAATGTATTTTTTCTAAGTTTCTGAATCTTTTGAGTGCCATCAGTTGAATACAAAATTGTTGGTGTAATCCTTGATACCACAAGAAGGAAACAAATTCATATTTAAAGTATTTCCCAAATACACACACACACACACATTCTTAACCTAGGTAATTAGTATTAATAATTTGTGGTTGATGGAGATATTTTTATTTCCTCATTTTTCAGACCGTTCTATTGATTTTTCTCATTGTCCAAAGTAGTGGCTGCCCTGAGGATATTTACTGGATCCTAGACATCTGGGTTTTCACTGTCATGAAGGGACGAGGAATCAAGGGCCCAGGACTCTGCAAGATCAAGAGTTGGAACTAGATCTCTTTTATCATCACTGCTAGACTAGACTACAAAAAGCCATCTACCAAAAGGAAAATGAGAAGGACACTGCCTATCTAGGGTTGGCCTCTGGAAGGCAAAACATTCTCCCTTGAGAATCCACATCCTGCTCTCAGATGAGTTTGGGGTTTGAATTCACACTGCTTGTGTAGTCTGGGGAAGTTAAGAATTAACTTTAATTGGCCCCCAGGAATCTGGCAGGAGGAAATAGAAATCTCTTCAGAGATAATCCTTCAATTCAGAGTTTTCAAGTTTTCTATAGATAAGTCTCAGCCAATAGGAACTCACAATCCAAAATAACAGAACTCACAAAAAATAGCAGCATTAATGAGTCAGGACAAACAATAATCAGCAGAATTAGACCAAGGACTTCTAATGCTGGATTTATCAAATATAGAATATAAATTATACATATTTAAATATTTTTAAAAATTAAAAAGGGAATTAAAAACATAAGCAAGGAACAATATACTATTTTAAAAAGACAGACATTTGGAAAAGAACCAAATAGAGCTTCTAAAAATTAAAATATATCATTAAATAGGTGAAATAAAAAGCAGATTAGTATAAACTAAAGAAAGAAGGAAGGAACAGGAATATATATCTAAAAAAATTACTTAGACTATAGCACCGAGACGTAAAGAAATGAAAAATATGAGAGATGTTAAAGAGACATAAAGAATATTACTAGAAAATCTAACATAAGTAAGAGTCCCAAAGGAAGAGAATACAAACAAGGAAGAGGCAATATTTGAAGAGATAGTGATAGAGAGTTTTCCAGAACTGATAAAAGCATAAATTCACAGATTCTGGACTCAAAGTGAATCACAAGTAAGTTAAATAGAAACCACACCTTGATACATTGTAAGGAAATTGCAGAACACTCAAGACTTCCTCCCTCCCAATATTTTTGAAAAGCTGTCAGAGGAAAAAAGGTAGCTTATCCTCAAGGGAATAACAATTAAGTTGACAGCAGAGTTCCCTTGTTAGTGTATAATTTTAAATTGCTGAAATATAATTCAACAATTTTAAGTATACGGTTCAATGAATTTTAAAAATTATACAGTCACATAATCACTAGATCAAGGTATAAAACACTTGAATCACCCAAAAAGTTTCCTCATGCCCTTCTGCAGGCAAATCCGCCCCCACCGCCATCATTGGCTCCAGGTAACCATGGCTGAGCTGCCTTTTGTCACTACAGTTTTGTCTTTTCTAGGATTCCATATAAATGGAATCATTCCATATGTATTCTTTTATTTCTGGCTTTTTTAACTTAGTCTAATGCTTTTGAGATCAATCCATGTTGTTGCATGTATTAGTAATCTGCTACATTTTCTTTTAATGGTATACAGTTATACAGAAATACCACAATTAGTTTATCAATCAATAGTTCATGGACACTTGGGTTGTTTCCAGTTTTGAGCCATTATCAATAAAGCAGGTATGAACATTTGAGTATAAATATTTATATGGACACGTGTTTTCATTTCTCCTGGGTAAATATCTACAAGCGAAATGGCTGGTACCTGAATGTTTAACCTTGCAATAATCTGTCAAACTGATTTCCAAAGCAGCTGTACCAGCAATGTATGAGTTCCAGTTGTTCCACATATCATCAACACTTGATAATTATCATTCTTTTTAATTATAGTCATTTTAGGAGCATACAGTGGTTTTAATGCACATTTCCCTAATGACTAATGATTTTGAGTACTTATTTGTCATTTGCTTTCTTTTTTGGTGAAATAGCTATTAAAGTTCTTAAAAATTAAATTCAGTGGTTCATCTTCTTAATATTGCATTGTATGCAGATATCAGATATATGTTTTGGCAAATATTTTCCCATAATCTGTGGCACATTTTTTTCATTTTCTTAACAGTTTTCTTCTTCAAAGAATAAATATTTTTAAGATTTTGATGAAGTCCATTTAACCAATTTTTTTTCATTTATGGTACATGGCTTTCTATGCCATTAGAAACCTTTACTTAATCCAAAGTCACAAATATATTCTCCTATTTTTTTTCTTCCAGTTTGATAGTTTTAGGATTTTTTTTTAATAAGGTAGGGAAAAAGTTTCAAATTTCGTTTCTTTCTTTTTTTTTTTGTTTGCATTTTTTTAAAGACTATTCTTTCTTCATTGAATTACTTTGTGCTATGGACTGAGTTATGTCCCCTCAAAATTCACATGTGGAACCCTATCTCCCAATGTTTTGGTACTTGGAGATGGGGGCCTTTGTGAGATAATTAGGTTTAGATGAGGTCATAAGGATAGGGCCCTCATGATGGGATTAGTGCCCTTATAAGTAGAGACCAGAGAAGGCAAGCTTTCTTTCTCTTTCTTTTTGTCTCTGCCATATGAGGACTTATACTAATAACATGGAGGTGAGGAGGGAAGCAACTGAAAATAAATTTTTCTAAGGTTTTTGAACTTGTCTAGTGAAGAGTAGACATTTATTATGTTTTGTTCAATATGCATTTAAAACATTTTAAGAATAATAATGGAAATGTAGTCTATAACTTCCAAACCAGTAGAGAAAATAGAATTTAAAAATCTCAGTTAATGCAAAAGAATGCAGGAAAGGACAAAAACATAGAAAAAGCAGGATCAATAGAAAGCACAAAATAAGATGGCATCCAAATACATCAGGAATCATAACACAAGTAAACGGACTAATCTAGCTAATCAAAAAAAATGATTGCCCAACTAGGGAAAAATTCTAGCTCTATGATGCTTATGAGAGAGATACATAAAACAAAAGGACACAGAGAATTTTATAATAATAATAAAATAATAAATCATGAAAATAATAGCTATATTGATATTAGGCGAAATGAGATCAGGTCTCTGAGATGAGACTGACATTTCAATAGGAGCTGATGATGAAATATGCCTATTTTACCTTATAGAAGGATTTTAAGCAGAGAAGTAAGCCTAAAACTCTTTAATGAATAAAGTTAAATTTTGTTTCTTAAAACCCATGTTCAGAGGCAGTATTCTAAAAACTCCAAAGATCTCTTTGCTATCACAACACAGCAAGCTTTTTTGCTATTCAGTAAACCCATTCTCTCTTCTGAGCCTACATGCTGCCAATTGTTACATTTGGCTAGTAATTAAACTCTGATGTATGGAGACTCAATACTCCTTTCCTTGGAGCTTGTACTGAATTAGAAACAAAATGTACGTAATTAACAGAGGGTGAATTTAAGCAAAATAAGTAATAATATTTTTAGGAAGTTGAATCATCTATAGTTAACTGTAAGTGATTACTTTCTTAGGATCACAATTGGAAAGACCCTAGCAATGACCTACTATAACTCCTCTTTGTACAGATAAAGTAGAGGCAAAAAGCATTTAGGTGAAGTCACCTAGTTAGTTAGTGGCAGGGCAAAGACGATAGAAACCAGATTCCATAATTTCCTTTCCACTCCACTATGGATCATAACTATTTGAGAATCCAAAGAATAGTTCTTAACATCTTTTCACTGGAAAAAATGAAATGTCATTTCCTAAATAGACTGTAGACTGTTGCTAGGTGATCACAGCAAATCTATTTAGTTCATTTAAATTAAAAGTAGATTTATACATCTTCACAATAAAGTTACAGAATTAATTTTATGAATTTAATATGAATGTTCTTAGTACAGCTAAGAATTTTTTTAGTGATGAATATTCCTTATGTATTTTTTTCTAGTTTTGGATTATTGGGGCATAAATGTGACAATTTCCTTAATATATAGAATGGTTTCTCCTGTTAAACATACATCTTAAAAATATCTATGACTGTCCATAAAAATCACTGCAATTGTTAGTGAGACTTTGAGAAAGATGTCGATATTTACCAAACATCAGATTCCAACCATGCTAGATCAGGCCATGTATATAACCCATACTTAGGCTATGCTGATCAGTCTAGCAATGGGGTGTCAGTTTATGCTGTGTTATCTCATGTCTTATAGTTAGCTCACAAGGATAAGGTTTTGAATTCTGTGAGAGTAGGGACTCTGCTTTTGCTTTCTTGGTATAAATAAACATTTATTGAATGACTACTGTGTGAAATAGTATAAATGATGTGGGTGAGAGCACATAAAAGAATAAGATCCTGCCCCAGATAATTTATACCATGATTCAAAACATAAGCAACAAAAATGGTCTGTGAAATATATATGATAATCTAAACTATCACAGACGAAATTTAAAAAGTTGAAAGCATCTGCAAGAAAATAATTGATGAATGGAGGAATAAATGAATGAAAGAATGTCAAATGCTGCTAACTGCATAGGTTTCAAAGGATGTTATTGTTTTAGGCTGGAATAGTCAGGAGAGGCATTATGAATATTTGAATCAAGATATGAAGAACAGATAAAAGCTAACAGGTAAAGAAGGTACTGTGGGTTTCAAATCCCATTCATTTACAGGGAAAAAGGTTTCTTTTTCTTTAGTGCATTATTTCCTTGGGATATACCATCATAAATTAAGGAAACTATTTTAATTTAGGAAAATATTTTATAAGTCACTTTCAAATGAAGACATCCAGTCATTATAATTATACATAAAAATTAAATAAATTTAAATTATCTTATTTTAAAGATATTATTATTGATTTTTCTCTTAAATATTCTACATACTATTATAATATATCCAATATTAATTTACCTTAGATCATATTGGGTCAAAAATTTTTAAGTAGGTAAATATCTTATTGAATTATAGCATAATTACAACCATTTTATAAGCTATCTGAATATAGAAAATATAACTCTACGTAGTAAAAAAAAGAATGTATCTAACTTGCATATATTTAAAATTAGTACTTGCTAAAATGATAATCAATTACATGAAAAGTTGGAGGTGTAAATACCATAATCAGTTTACCTATTGTTAAACTGGATTTATCATGAATAGAAATAGTGACTCATATCATTATTCCATGCGTGGCTTCCTAGCAAACCAATTTAAATAAAATAGTGAACTTATAATGCATAATTTTATTTTTCAAAAAAATCAATATTTATTATAAATGGTATTGCTGCACGTATTTGCAAAGTCCTCTCTTGAAATAATTTCCTGGATGTCTGCATCGTTCATCATTTACTTTCGCAGGTTTTCCCCACATG